ATGGGCTGAATGCAGTGACTGACAGGCGTCGAAGGGTTTCAACTGATCCGTTACATTAGGTTATTTATACTAAATGGATTATCATTGTCTTTCTGACAAAGTATCTCTTTTGTTTGCTTTTTTACTTTCATTTCGATTTTGAACTCTCTCAGATTTGACCAGCTTGAAGCCTCCCTTCAGGTGGTGTCGTAATACACCACGTGATTATTTTGACGCTGGTAAACAAATTAGGATAGCAGCGGTAAAATTTCAGACGCAACTGCCGACGTTGACGTCAGAAGCACAAAGCAAGGTGCTATATTTAAGTTTATGTGGTGTGGAGTAATTTCACAACAACTTTGTCAGTACATCAACGTGCATCGAAGCAAGAAGAGAGACAATTGAACAGGTGGTTGGTAACACATCCTAGCGCTTATTTTCTGTTTTCAGGAAGCGGTGCATTCCACAATCGCTCTTTTGCTGTGAGCGTCTCCTTGCTGACTCGATGCTCTAGGTGTGGAAGTGAGATAGGCTGGACATTTGGGTTTTCTGAAGGCCAATCGTTTAAGTTCATAATATTTTCGCAATTCCACTCTTCCGGCAAGTTGCTAATCTACTCATCAAAACACGATTATCTGAACTGTCGAATTCCACAACAAAACTGCTTACGGAATTCCACGGATAATCATGAGACATTAGCTTGCGAGCAGTATACCTGTCCGCTCTATTTACGTCGAAGGCTAAACTGTCAGTACTGAACTTCGTTGGTCTTTGTATATACTTTGAACTAGCCACCTTTTTGACTTTCTGCACTGAACTTGAGATTAAAAAGGAAGAAATGATAAACATATTTTTTGCAGTGCAGCTTTTGAGGTAAAAAATGTCGGTCTATTTTCATACATACACCCGTTTAAAACCGTCCGAAAATTTTTGACTCTTCACGCACTTGATTTGTCCTGCCGCTTTCCTCGCACTTCAGCAACGCCGCATGCAACCACCCCATTGAAAGGTTTGGCAGGAACACGCTACCCAACTATCGGCTAACACGACCTATATGTTTAATATCCCACACGTTCAAAATATATGAGCCTGACAAGATGAGTAATGTTACTGGTTCGATTTGACACATATAGCCTGGAGCAGCTGTGCTCGACCAAGAAAACCACTGATAGTGTAGTTGTTTATGTATTATACACAAGTAATAACAATAATTTATCCATCCACTATTAGTTATCCATGTAAATCCAAACAAAAAACAACACCAAGTGAAGCGACACTGACCAGACCGGATGTCTGAATGCCTGCATAGGACACTGAGCAGCGGAACCGAAGATGCTGACAGAATAAGCTGCTTGTTTTACTTAACACTAGGCCAACGTGCGTCATTTTATTGACATGGGATTCATTTTCCGTTGCCCTGTCCGGGGGAAATTATATGTACAATCAGTTTCTTGTTGCACGCCTTGTTGGATTAACGACACTGTTTCTGTTTCTTCCTCGTATCGTCGTACCTGGGGTCCTAGGTTTCGTTGCGAAAAAAATGACAGCAGCCATGTCTTGTCCTAGCGTACGTTTAGTTCTCGGGTTAGCTTCTGACCACATTTCAGTGTCTAACTGTACCCTTAGTTCAGCGCTTACAGCAAGATTACAAAACAAAGTTATAAAGTGTTCTATGGAAAGGGGTGTTTTGTTGCATTTTACAGCCGGGTCTCTCAAACTGCCTGCAGTTTGGCTTCGTTGGTGTACATCAGTTAATCAAACCCCGTAACATAGTTGTGTTTCTGGAACGTACGGGTGTCTCCAACGTTGTTGAATTATAAGATAACTATTTCTAAAATGTATGAAGATGCACCTGCGCTGTTCGCCACTATATAAGTGCACAATTTACCGCGTAGGATAGATTGGCTGTTACGTTTTTCCGTCCAAAAAATATCTCAGTTTTCGGCACGTGGATAGAGGTTTGGCATCCGATGCAGACCTTATCAGTTGTTATTCTCTTAAATGTAAACGTTTCACAGTGAGACACTAGAGTTTCAGCGTTTAACGAAAATTCAAGACTCATGCAACCTATATTTTACTTCGTGAATTGGTCAAGCAATAGTTCGGATCAAGATCAAGATGTCAGACTAAATATTCGCCTAATGTATTTTATCCCTCTAGGTCCCACTGATAATTTCGAATTCGTATGTTGTTTTGCCTTGAGAATTGTGATCAGGCATTCACACTACAGGAAGTTTGACAAAAATGCACAAGAAAATCATCTTCGTGTCCGGTTATCAGTTTTGTTAAGTTTGTCCAACTAGATGAAAAGTTAATATATGCAAATTGTTATGAGCTGGAGAGAAGTTTAAATTCTCCTGTACCATCGTGAGATTAGGCGTGGCGCGGCAACGAAAATCAGCTTGCCAGTCAGTTTGTTCTTATGGGATTATGGTCCGACCTGAGTAATCTTAGTTGCTTCAGAATTCCAGCCACGTATCACATATAACTAGAAAACTTACCAGAAATTTGCTGGAAATATTGAGCGCTTTAGTAAACTGACGAGGATGAGAAAGGTTTAGTTCCATGCTGTCGGCATTAAAGCTAAGGTAGCACACAAAGCTGCGTTTTCCAGACACCAATTTATCCTTGAACACATCGGTTTCAACAATATAATGGTAATGGAAAGTTCAGCTGTCAAAATATTGGGGGAAAGAGCTAGACATATCGTTGTTGGACAGTATGTTGTATGTTATTGCACGAGCATGACGGTGTGATATAAGTTTATGCGTGAATGACTGTGACTGTCCATATAACGTCAATGTTGTGCCCCACATCCGAACTAAAACTGCGGTTATTTAACAAATGCTGGGATTTTCGTTGAGGATTTGGTGTGCACAGTCTTTGGTGTAGACGAACAACTGACAATATTCGATGAAGAAACTGCTAAATTTTCCTTTAGAAAAATTTATTTTGACGACTTTCTAACAGCTTAAGTTAGCATGTGCTACTTTGTTTGTTAGAATGCATGATATCATATCTAGCAACTTCATACGATTGACTTTCTCCGCCAGAGATGTTGATTGAACTAATTTTATTCATGATAAATGTCATTATGGCCATTTGTCTTTCTTATTTTTTAGCTTATTCCAGCTTGGAACTTGTCAGTTAACAGATTTTGTTGTTAGTTTGTAGTTAACTTACGTGACAAACTGAGAAAACAGAGAAGGTGAAGACGCACCTGAAAACATAACTTTGCTTGCTTGAACGATGAGCAAAACTATCAATCCAAGATAAGGAAGTTGTTATCAATATCATACATATAGTTGTATCGATAAAAGGCAAAAGTATTTGTTGTATCGTGGGTGGCCGTCTATTGGTTACGCCTACACTGAGCCTGTCAGATTACGCGATGAGGAGAACACAGAGAACTCGGGACACGGCTGTATTGTCAGGACAAAACACAGAGCTTCTGCGTAAATATATAGGATGACTAAATGGCCAAATATGGTCGTTCACTTGTTCGTTCGGATGGATTAGATGCCACTTCCGACTGCGGACTTGATTAAGTGACCACATCAGAATGACTAAACTTCGTAGTCGAATACATGCGACTCTACTTATGAGATCGTAGTACCCCTATGTCAATCGATTTAAAGTAGCTAACTTAGTTTATCTTGACCTTGTTGGACCCAAACACTGTTGACTAGCATGCGTTTGCCACAACTGGACTCTTTCAGAATCTCTCAGACAAGCATTTACAGTGATACTCATTTCAACCGAAACCAAGGGTATATCGCGTTGCCGAAATTAGTGTCCATAAGAAACACCATTGGGTTATCGAAAAAACAAGAGCAGTAGTTCGGAGTTACATTAAAAAGGTAATATTATTCTCAGAAGCAGAGTGGGTGGATAAAACAAATCTACAAAGATTACCGCGTCATTAGAACCCACAAAATTAGAACCTAATAATTAGACCTCATTTGAGCAAAATGACGAAAGATAACTCTTTGTCATGAAATGAGCCACTGATGCGAATCGGGCAAATAAACAATTTTCTCTGTAATGCACTACTCGTAAGGTTGCTAAAAATCTGTCGACAGCCCACTACCGGTTTCGCCCTTTTTGGGGCTCATCAGGTAGAATCAGGTTTTAAGTGAGTGTATATTCACTAAACAATTTTCTCGCCCACCAATTTAGCCTAACTGCATTTATGCGGTTGAATTAAAGAATTCTGTTGAATTAGCCGCTTTTTCTTCTTCCATTCACGTGATGTCGAGGATGGACTCCACGCGTTACGTAATTCGTCCAACATATTTGATTGCAACAAGAGCCCTTCTACCTATAGTGTCATCTTTGACCACCAAAACTAGGTTGACTGTCAGTGTCAACTGGTCGTCCGACTATGTATTAAGTGTAAATAATTGTGGTACTTGGCTTAAACATTCCACTTTAAGACCAAACCCCCCTCCCAGGTTTTCAGCCCTCTTGACTTCTACGTGGGATTTCTTTGCGTATGTTCCGTTGCTTACATGATTAATGCGCTCAGCTCCGGTCAATCGTTGAAACATGCAAACTTCTTGCTTTTTTCAGTCTTATTTTCATCCCCAATAGTTGACATTTTAGGCTTTCAGTATTCCGGCAAAATTTGGTCTCACAAAGTTAAGATGCAAACTTGAGAAAAAAACCTAAGTAGTGGTCTGGTCTCGTGGGGATGGAGATAAAGACCAAATAAGCCAAGTACCGAATACTGCCTAAAATAATCATTTACCCACACTCAGATCCTAAAAGATCAGGAATTCGCATCTTATAGGAGGTGACAGCCCCAAGCTAGGAAGCAACAAAGTGGATGAACGCTCATCACAATTCAAGTGCACGGGATGTATGGTAAAACCGGAGCTACTGTAGTCACATGATGTTGGTAACTACCGCCTTACAACTGAGCATCGGCCTTGAACAATGCGGTCGAGGTTCTCATTTGTTCCATTTGTTTAAAAGCTTCCGTCCAGAAGAGGTATGTTTAACGTAATTGTAAGATTTACTATAGCGAACTGGTAAAAATACTCTTGAGCCGTATCAAGTGTACAGTCGAAGAACGGATATCCAAGTGGCCTCGTCCCTAACTGTAAAAAGACGAGAAGAAAAATAAACCAGGCGATATAGTGATTTGTATCAAAGAAGCATTCGGAACAGAATATTACGCAAGCATTTAGTGCTGTAAATTTTGCAAATGAAACCAAATTAGTAAAACCGGAACTCTGGATACCTGCTCCTTTTCATGCACTTTCCAGCATTTTCATTACGAAATAAGGGAAAACTGACGTCTACAAGTATTCCTGAACACATTGCAGAGGATTTGAAGTTGACAAGCTTATGACTTTCGTTCTGGGTGAACTGTTGGACTTGTTGGAGAGTGCAGGGAGTGTAAAGAAACAAGACTTTCTTTCACGTTCATCAACTGGTAGAACAGCAATGATTATCATTCTTGCCATAGCAGCGCCAGTTTGATATTACAAATGTAATTCGCGCGGACCGCTAGAATTGTTGACCAATCCTAAGTGTCCTGCCGAGGCCGCCAATGCCTCACGTCTACACCCATGGAACTTTTACCAACTTCCTGAGGCGTCTGATAGTCTTTACTTTTATTCGTGATTTCACCGATCTGCGTGAGATTCCCGTCAGAATTGCTGCTTGTTATCTTGCCTCAAGTTTAATTTGGAGTGTACGCACACATCTAATGTGAGGCTTTGTCTTGTTCGGCTGAAACTCCCAAAAAGAAGCCGGTTGCATGAAATAAATAACGGGGTGCTTTCGTCCAAAGTCATGTGCTGATTAAATATCCTGTTGTACATAGGTAGCCCGGTACCTGGTGAAACCTACTGCAATGGACTTTATGTTGAGTGCATAAGAAGATTAGATATCTTAGAAACTCCCAGATTCTCTACCAGACAAGTACCAAAATTTCCAGCCCATGACAAAATCTTTTAACTCGCAAAAATAGCGTACGAATAAAAGAGATAAACATAAGTGAAACATGAACACTTCAACATGAGCGCAATAAGGCTGCATATCGAGTTCATTTTAAAACCCTTTCGTTAAAATCCTTTCTAGAGATTCAAAATGAACGGATGCTTAGGTATGCAAGCGAACACAATTAAGGAGGTTTGTGCTTTTTTCAAAGCAAGGATAATTCGGTCTTTCAGGTTTTCATTTCAGAACAATCTGGTGCCAGGCTCTGCTACCCATGATCTGTACCAACCCACACACTTTGAGTGACGAGACTTTCGGTACTGGAAAATACCGACCGCAGACGTTCCGACCGCGAAAGGCTTAGATCAGCTTTTTACCGTTCTCAATACCAATAGGTTGTATGAGTATGCTGAGAGGTATCCTAGACAACTACCTAATTGGGCAGAATCCTACTTTCCCTAAAATGATTGCACACCTCATCGATGTACTTTTCTTATTAGGGAAATGGAAAAAATGTAGATATGGAATAACAAACGGTTTCTGACAACCTATCATTATTGTCAACTAAATGTCGGAATAACAATCAGAATTGCAAAATAAAGCGTCTGCAGAATGATGAAACAGCAAACTAAGTGTTGCACGGGCAGTGATGCTGGGTGTTTGTCGGAAACATCCAAAATAATAAGAGGAAATGTCTACTTTGGAACATGGAAAATCAACATTGGGTTTCGGCCTTTTACTTATTTTGTTTGTAACAAATTCCATGTCCATTCTCACTCCAGCCACTGCGTCCCCTATAGAGCTTAGCTGCGTCCTTTACGCTTAATGCACAAAATTTGACCACCCGACATCAAAACCACGATCGATCAACAAAAATTTTGAAACCGAGACATTCCATCCAAGGATATGGACGTTAGTTCGCCGAGAACAGTTTAGCTCATAAGATCCTGATATTCGTCTCAACCAGTGGTTTGAGAAGTGTACTGGCATATATAAACGGTTTATTTGCGTGCAGCTGACATACTGCCTTTACTTACGAAGAGATATTAATAACAGCAGATAACTAGTGCCAAACGTATAGAGGAAAAGCTGTATCCCGATTCCAAAAGAAGAGTGACCACAAAGAATAAATATATACGCAAAGGAGACACAAACCAACCCCTACTCATGGGTCGGGAAATTCATATCCAGATACACCAGCCATATATATATGTATGCATATATATGCGAAAACGTAAAAAGCATCGATCATCTCAAACAACAAACACTGCCAAACGAACATATCGACCCACGTTTTGTTGAAACCATCTGGAAATCATCCACGTGAAAAAGTGATGAATAACCTGTCATCCAACGGCCACATGATCAGATTAAAGGCTTGAACACAAATATCCCAAAAAAATGCCCTCGCAAATTCATGCCACACGAACAAACCGATGAATCGATGACCACTCTGAATTGTCTCCGTTTGAGACATAATTATTTGGCTTAGTACATTGGTTAATCAAGCAGGCACATCATTGATGGCTGATGTGTTGTTGGAGAGCACTGGATCGATGTGGTTTACGACCGCCTTCGTCTTCGTTTTTTGAGTCGCAATTGGCTCGAATCGTTGACTACCTGTAAGTCCAGTGAACGCTGGAAAATTCGCCTGTTTAGATCACGATGCGGTCTCCTACAGTTAGTCCGACCATCGAAGGTCGCCTCTCGCACTCTAACGAGTGGGATGAAAAGCTGCTTCAAGTTTGCTAGGTACTTAAGAGTGTGATGCCTGCCCATATAGTTAAGCCCTGCGTTGAGTGATAAGGGTATGGTAGATAGTGAAAGGGCAGTGCAACAGTAATGGTAATGCTAGTTCGTTGTCCGGCCTTTTTATAAGGAATGGCCCACAGTACTCAATTTGCCGGAACACACCAATAACTATGCTACAAATAGATCAGTCGCTCACGGTTCCTCATTTGGTCAGTAGGTTAGCCGGCTTGTCGTAGTTCAATAATCATTCAATAACGTATCAGTCCCTTTTGATTTATGACTAGGAATGAACTCGGTTTGTTGTTTCATTGCCGTTTTAGGCAATTTTTATTGGAAGTATATATTTATATTTATATATAGTATAAATGGTGTCACAGCAACTTTTGTACCATATGTAACGTTTAGAAGAGAATCATTCGTCACACAAATGAGTGTTTGATGAGTAGAAATAATTGAAGCTCTTGAGGTGTAGAAATGACTTTCTGTATGGAATCACCTTCCATCATCATTCAACTAGTTCAAGTTTCAATGGAAACGTACATGTTTACCAATGTAATTTCCAGTGAATGCCCCGTGACCATTTCATAATTTTACGTATGGTATATAGCGAAAAAAGTGGCTTCACTGTACACAACATTATATCCTTCAGAACTGGAACGGCCAACCCAGGAAGATCGGGGAAGTTAGTCTCAGTTAAATTAAATTCTCGCGAACGGGCACTGAAATGGGAAAATGCTCACCTAACAGGCTCAGGAGACCGTTATTTCGTCAACCGTTGTTGTAGTAGGTCAGTATTAGCTAGAAGGTAGCATATTGGTACTTTGATTTCTTGGGTTCTGCAGAGTTAACTGATTTTGAGAAGTGAAACCATTCTGGAAAGTTATGTTCAACCCACAAGTGATCATTTTCTCCATCTGCTCCTTTGCGGATCTCGAATTTAGATGTATCCGAAGAATGTCAGTCTTAGAAATTTAGTCTAGCTTGGCTGAGGTCGCATTTTATATTTTTTCCCCTCTAACTGAGATTTCACAACATATTAATTCATTGTTGGATTTGTTAACTTGACCGTGTAATTAGCTGTCAGAGTAAATTTATGATGTACTGGGTTATCTGATTACCATATATTGGTTAATTAATTAAGAAACTGAGTAATTAATTAATTAGTTACTAGTTAATTATTAATTTCGTCGACCAGATGCACGGGTGTATTTACGAATGGTTTTTTAGTGACCGGATGTAACGTCATTTTTGTTTGCATCAACTGTAGATTTCTCCACATCGGTGAAACGCGTGTTTATGTTATAATAGATTAAAGTGGTTTGCTTGATATAACACATCAGTTTAATGGAAACTCCTCGAGAAATCGCTCCCAGTTTCGGCGTCTTTGGAACTCACCAGGTAAGCATAGTCCCCGAATACCCATTATGTATTCCGTTCGTTTGATCAGCAAACTATACGAGATTCGCAGAGTACATCGACTGAAGAATATCACAAAATTATAAATTCAGTTATTTGCGGTTGAATATAATTTGCCAATCGCATACCAGGTGGTACTTTTGCAGAACGTTTACGTCTATTTGAGGAACCTCAACAAAAGTTAATGAGACACTGAGGCGTCAAAGTGTTTTCAGCTGATTTCTTACCTGTTAACCACCTGTAAATTCCCCTTTTAAACTCAGAACGCGACGCATTTTAGCCACCCGTGTTTACATATTACCCACTAAAATAGAGGCGACTTACGCTTTGCCTACGTTCGACATACCTCAAATTCAGGTAAATCTTATATGGAAAAACAAATGGGATTACCTTGGAGTCCTCAAGGCACCTTTCTTGACAAATATCTTACCGGGTAAACAATAAGCTCTTAATCCAGCCACCTATTTGGTGTCGTTACTAACTTGCTACATGTCCCAAACATACTAAGTTTTGATGTGAGTCTTGCCTGTGGATTTTAAAGTAAGGAACGTTTCTTCAGATTACTAGATTGTCTAGTTTGAACCAACTAATCGCAGGTGACGTAACGCTGTATCGTAAACTGACGCAATTCAGATGGCATCTGGATTAGGTTCCATGCAACCAACTGTTCACTGATAGACAGAGCCCAAATTATATGCTCATATGGGGCTTTTGAAGTCACTGAAACTAATAATATTGTGGGCATGCTGTGGTGAAACAATTGTAGTGCACTGGAACAATCCCAGTCAATGCAAAAGAAAAGCAGAAAGCAGAACGGTTATGTCAGAAATTCCTGTAAACTGACGCAAACAAAACAGGTATGCTATTCAGTGCAAATTCATTTTGATTGTTCACAATCAGCACAACTGACCACATTGACAGACGCTGTGTGATCTCCAGAAGCTTTGGCACCCAAAGTAATCGAACTGATTGCGAAAAGAGAATCTGCCGCATTCATGGTGGTAACGAGAAGGTTAATCAAAGTGCATGCTGCTGCCATAAAAACCATGAAAAATGTAGTTATGCTATTCCCTATAGACGTAACCTGAGTAACTAAAACGATTGCGAAGCTTTGTTTCCCTTTTAGAGCCAGGGGAACTGTGCGGTCACACAAAACTAACATGCAGGCAAATAAGTTTTTCTCGTCTAGCTGGTACTTCCACCAGTCCGGTGGACGAGGCCGAATAATTACGTGCTGGTCTATTGATTAACCTGCTCGCCCGAATTCGCCGACTAATAACAGCGACTATATTCACTACGGTTGAATAAGCTTCCGTCAAACGAGAGCAAGCAAACGTGGGTCATAAAGATACGATCAGCTGCTTCATGTATGTCGGAAAGAAATTCATCCTAGAACACCATCCAGACAAGCCAGAATAAGTGTCGCCAATACGAATACATTTTGAAGACGATTGCAACTTTCTGTGAAAACACATGTAGATAAGTTTAGCAACCAAAATACTTCATTGCGGCATTTGCCTCTCATGTTAGGAAAGTGTGCTCGTCCTTCTGAGTTTTTCATATGTCCTTCAGGAGGCGCATCTAATAGGTTGACATGCAATGGCTGCAATCGGGATGCACCAAATAAGTGGACCTAACATTCTTCGTCAACAATTACTTGTCCGCCGACAAGAGAGCCAAAGGTTGCGGATCCCCGACGAACTCTAACATGCTTTATCTGGTGCCATACTTCATCTTACATGCACAACTATTTGCTCAAAAACCTGATCCATAGTTTTAGGGATCGTTTTTTTTAAAATCACATGTATCATGCTATCTGAGGAACAAAACAGACGAACAAACAAATCAAACTGAAAAACGGGAATTCTGCTATTGTCATACTAGCCGGAGACCGCATCGTGATCTGAACAAGCGAATTTGCAAGCATCCACTGAACTTACAGGTGGTCAATGATTCGAGCAGATTGTGACTCAAAAACTAAGAATAGGGATTAAGTGGGAATTGGCGCAAGGCGATCGTAAACGACATTGATCTAGCGATTTTAGGAAACGCATTCAGGCACCTCTCCTTGTGAAAGGTTTGCAAAATTATCTGCAACGCCGTGGAAAATTGTATGCCCCCCGATAACGCATCAGCTAGCAATGATGTCTATGCTTGATTAACTGATGAATGCTGTATTAAGCAGAATAATTATGCCTCAAGGGGAGACAATTTAGATCAGTCGGTGATTCATCGGTTTGTCCGTGTGCCATGAATTCGCGGGTGCATTTTTTGGGATATTTGCCTTTATACCCTTAATCTGATCATGTGACCGTTTGATGACAGGGTTGTTCATCACTTATTCACGTGGATAATTTCCAGATGATTTCCATAACCGTGGGTTGACATGTTCGGTTAGTAGGGTTTGTTGTTTGAGATGGTCGATGCTCCTTACGTTTTTGAATATATATATACATATATATATATATATGTATATATGATCATAATAACACTTTCATGACAGGCCTTGTTGCAGTACCCTAGAAAGGATTAATTCTATAGCACTTCTTGTCCCTCCGTGCATATGTGAAGCGGAGTTCGTCTGCTGTCATCCAAGAACATTCATGTGAGTAAACTTTGTGGTGTATACATGCAGAATACTGTCCTGGTACAGACTACTTTTCCAAGCTGTTTGCATAGGTTGCTGAATACGGCACTTAACTTAAGAAACATATCAGTTGGCCTACTATCGATTAACAAGTCTATCTATTCGGAGCACGGTATTTCTTTCCACTTCACAAGCTCCAGTTAATCCACCCAAAACTATTACTTCAATATAAAACGTGGTCGTGAAGTACTGATGCAAGTAGTAAAACTAAGTAGTAAACAATAACAATTATAAAAAATGAAGTAAATTTAATTCTTGATAACGTTTGTAAGCAGATGATTTTCGTAGATAACTTCCAACTTATTAGGACAATCTGACTAATTGTGGAGTATTGGGCTGTCCTGCTTGAGCAATAATATGTCCTTGTGGGAAATGCAGCAATCACTCCACTGGCTTCAGATTTAGACCAGTTTGTTATGGAATACAATAGAGCCTGAAATTCTAAGCCACAAGATTGCAGAGCTCAAAGCCTAGGAATTAGTGAGGATCGGCGAATATGTAGATGAGAGAATCAGTTGCAGTCCGATGTTCTGAATAATTTAGTAGACCAGAAGCCATTCATATTGCAAGTGCTCAAATCGTTCAGCTGGTTCGTCGTCTGCCAGACAGCAGCGTGATGCTGTTGGTCGTATGGTCAGGGTCCAGTAAATCCCAAAAACGGAGAACGTGCGTGCATCGACTGCACATTTATAAATTAAGTAGATTTGTTTTAAGAATCAGTCCATTAGGGCGCTTGTCAATTTTATAATTACACACCTAGTTACGTGGTTTTGGACGGAATTTCAGGCTCTTTGCATAGCTGTGATTCTCTTATGTGAGCAACAAGGCGTTGACTGAGTTTCCTTCCAATGCCTAACCTAACGCTATACGACAGCCATGTTTTGCTCAACACACTAATGTTGACTGTGCTTTGGGTAGCATCTAGTATTGTTTAACCGTTCTTCAGCTGCTGACCTCCGTACGTGTGTTTCTGAGCCGAACTTTTTTACACAACTTAAAGCCCATTTCATTAGACTCACGAGTCCAGGATTTAAAGCGCTTTCATCCTAAATATGTCCCTCTTTTTGTGGCTGTTGTACTACTTTTCACAATCATCTCTCAGTTTTGAATTAATCATGCATTTCACAAGTAAACATTTCATTTCTGCATACAAACAGAAACTTGTTGGTCAGCTGGGTTGGTAGACATGCTTCAGTGGCCCATATAAAGATACTCTACCATATTGAAATTTGAAGAGGTTGTGCAACATAACTGAAAAACTGTGGATAAACATAATGCGTCGACAATCGCTTTGTGGATATCTTTTGTTGTCTACGTCTCTGTAAAACTACTTATGCAAAAATAGGTTGATTGTTGGTCAAATTATATTGACAGGCAAACTCAGAGATCTCCTACTCCAAGGTAAACCTGTGGGTGAGTGCGCCGGATGGGCTGAAATGCGACTGCAAAAACAAAACTACATCGTGAGCTCCTAACTTTAGAGGCAAATGCAAATCAAACAGGAAATGAACCGGAGAGTGTCTGACAGGGCAAGCATCATTAGGACAAAGTACAAACTGACACACAAACCCAGATTGGGGAATAAACGAATGAAGTCGATGGATGTATTGCAGTCTGTTGTTCCCTAAACAGGGGAGGACGGTAACTACTCAGACATGCACAGTTGGATTTTCACTTCACGCGGGGCTGCTGTTGGTGTACAATTTTATCGTCCCAGTAAATTACCGCCAGCAACAGTGGCCAACGGAAAATCCACTTAATTCCTTTAGACACTAAATTGGTGCGCTGCTGAAGCAGACAGACAGAATGCAGTTTGGATAAATGGCAGCATTCCTTTAAAGAAAGTGGGAGCAGCTTGTTTAGAGAAAGTTTACTTGCTCAACTTTATGATGACCCTGCGCAGCAATATGCTGTGTGCAGCAAATCTGCAAATAGGATAATTAACACCAAGGAGCTAACCCTCATGAACTAACGCCATTGTCATCTCTGGTGCACTGTGTTAGGTTATCAGTACTTTCTCCCTTTGTCTAATTTCATTAACAATTGCTACATCACATTAGGTGAGAGATAACCGGGTGACGTACTCCTGACAGGACTGCATCAGCCCAGCTCTAGAGGACTCTAAAATGAATGCGCTAGCTGTCTTCGGGTATATATATAT